AAAAAAAAAAAAAGAATTAGAGGTTGCTATGAGCTGTGATGCCACAGCCCTCTACTCAGGGTGACATAGTCAGACTGTCTCCAAAAAAAGAAAAAAGAAAACACAGTTGCAGGTTGCCTATGACGTAACCGGAGAGACCAGCTGATCCATTTCGTTGTTCTCAGCCTTACCTATCCATCAGATCACCTGTGGGTGTTTTTCAAAACACAAATACTGGTGGCTCATGCCTATAATCCCAGCACTCTTGGGGGGCTGAGGTAGGTGGATCACCTGGACCCATTTGAGACCAGCCTGAGCTAACTCTGTCTCTAAAAATAGCCAGGAGTTGTGGCCAGCACCTGTAGGCCCAGCTACTTGGGAGGCTGAAACAGAATTACTTGAGCCCAAGAATCTGAGGTTACTGTGAACTGTGATGCCATGGAATTCTACCTGGGGTGACAAAGTGAGACTCTGTCAACAAACAAACAAACACAAATACCAGCGCATTTCCTCAGGCACAAATAAATTTCTAGATGTGGGTAAAAAGCTTCCCAGGATATGCTTCCCTGATTAAAAATTGCAGTGGTTCTCAATCTTGGCTATGTATTATGAATCACTTGGAGAAAAATCCCCAAATCCAGGTGAGGTTGGAATCCATAGGATAGGACCCAGACATAGGTATTTTTTTAAGACTACACAGTGATTCTGGTCTGCAGTTGAAGGTTAAGGACCATTCTCTCTTTTTGTAAAGTAGCTGTAAGGAAAACTGATGTTGTGTTGTACTTTTAATGTTAAAAAAAGATTAGTCACAAAAATTAAGTTTGCTTTCATGCCTCATCTTAGCCACTCCTCTCAGTAGCTAAAAAACCATTCACTGTCACAGCTCCTCTGAAATATTTAGTTGAGAAGAATCAATAATCTTCCTCATTTCATTGTCAGGTGACCTGTATTATTTCAACATTCTTTCCCATAGACACTTTGTGTATGATCATGTGTTTGCGGAGAAGATCACATCCTTGCAAAGTCAGAGAAGCCCTGATGAAGAAGAAAACGAGCACTTGAAAAAAACAGTGACAATGCTGCAGGCCCAGCTGAGCTTGGAGCGGCAGAAGCGGGTGACCATGGAGGAGGAGTACGGGCTGGTGCTGAAGGAGAACAGCGAACTGGAGCAGCAGCTGGGGGCCACGGACGCCTACCGCGCCCGGGCGCTGGAGCTGGAGGCTGAGGTGGCAGAGATGCGGCAGATGTTGCAGTCAGAGCACCCATTTGCCAATGGGGTTGAAAAGCTGGTGCCAGACTCTCTCTTTGTTCCTTTCAAAGATCCCAGCCAGAGCCTATTGGAAGAGATGTTCCTGACTGTGCCGGAAGCACAGAGAAAGCCTCTCAAGCGCAGTAGCAGTGAGACAATCCTAAGCAGCCTGGCAGGGGGCGACATTGTGAAGGGCCATGAGGAGACCTGTATCAGGAGGGCCAAGGCTGTGAAGCAGAGGGGTATCTCCCTTCTGCATGAAGTGGACACTCAGTACAGTGCCTTGAAGGTAAAGTATGAGGAGCTGCTGAAGAAGTGCCAGCAGGAGCAGGACTCTCTGTCCCATAAGGCTGTGCAGACCTCCAGGGCACAAACCAAGGACCTGACTGGAGGCAATGCCCAGCTGGAGCCCATCACTGATGGCTGGGAACTGGCCTCTATTGCCCCAGAACCCATCGCTTCCCCCACCACCACGCCACCTCCAGAATACAAAGCACTTTTCAAGGAGATCTTCAGTTGCATCAAGAAAACTAAGCAGGAAATAGATGAACAGAGAACAAAATACCGATCACTCTCTTCTTATTCCTAAATGAACCTCTAGCTCTGCTGTAATTTGCCTATTTCCTATCACCTCTCTTTCCTATTCATATAAGTGTTTCTAGACTCTAAAGCCTGATGTTGCTCATGACATCTTCTTGTTGCTTTGGGTGTTTAGCAAATGTATGCAGTAAGGATTGGAGGTGGCTACTGATTTCCCCAGGAAATCCCATGACAAACTGGCCTCTGGCTGGTGTGCTGATTAAACTGCAATTCCTGGCAAAGAACCAATGGTGGGAAGATCTATACTTCTAAAGAAGTAGGGCTGGAGTTAGTATAGTATGGGGAGAGAGGGCAGAAGTGGAACAAACTTGGAGCAATTCCTATTGTTTCCTTAAACACAGCTTCTCAAAACCATATACAGTCAGAGGGCTGCAAAAGTGAAATCTCTTTTGCAAACACTGCTGGATACTGTGAATTCATTAAGAAGAATGTTCAGGAGAAAGCAGGGGTCTAATCCAAAATGTCATTAGCAAATACTCCAAGGCTCTTGAGTTTTGTTATATCTATTTGCTACTATTTGAACTGTGACTGACAGATAATCCAATATATCTAAATCCAGCTGAATAAATTGAACTGGCAATCTTTGGTTTGATCAAAGTTAGCTTGTTAGCATATACCCTAGAGGGTCTCCATCCCCACATTCAAATATTTGTACTCAAATCTCTAGCTTTTAGGATAGGTAAATATGTAAATCTGTAATCCCTTTCTCAAATTCAAACCCCTTCCTCTCCTACATGTCTGAGCTGGCTAACTCGCCAGGCACAAGCTGCTCTTGCTCATTTCTTACCATTCCTGTAAATGTTTTTGACTTGCTGCAGAAATTCCTGTCTACTACTTTATTAAGCAGTATTGATGTTCTGACTGTGGAAATATACTTATCCTCTCACTTGCATACATTTAATTTAAAACTATTTAAGAACTATGGTTCTAATTATTGTATATATTTTTCTAAGTCCAATAAAGCTACATATGAAAATGAACAAATAAATCTAGTGCCTCTTAAGTATAAACCATTTTGACGTTACAACGGTCAGCTAGGTTTTTCTTCCAACAGGTATCACTAGAAGGATTTGATAGGGATTTTTTGGTCCCATTTTAAACAGAGCCCTTGGAATTGCTGCTGAACTCGGGCTGATCAGCACTCGGGGTAATCCTGGAAACTAGATCCACTAGGATGGACCAGTGGATTGGGTCTGTGGGGGTGTGACAGTAGCCTGGGTCCAGGGGCTGACCTGAGGCTGAGGTCCATCCATAGCTGTAGCCTGAATCTATAGGAGTGTGCCTAGGTCACAGGGACCGTCCTGGAGCCTCAACCTGGTAGGACCTACTGGCATTGGGATCTACTGGGGCAGGCGTGGACCTTGAGTCTACTGGAATAGGCCTAGAGCCTTTGGCTAGTTTGGTGCTAAGGCAGGTGTTGGTGCTTGGGTCCACTGGTCATTCTAGAGCCTGAGATCATGGGTGCTGGCCTGGAGGCTAGGTCTGCAGGGGAAACCCTGGAAGCTGAGTGTGCAGGTACTGGACTTGAGACAAGGTCCATAAGGCCTAGCCTGAAACCTAGGTTCCCCTAAAGGCAGTCTTGGATCCTGGGTCTATGGGAGCCAGCCCAGCACTGGGATTTACTCAGATGAGCGAGCACTGAGTCTGCTAGTGTGGGGCCACAGGAGCAGGCCTAGCATTTGGGTATGTCTACAGCCTAAGGCTAGGGGTGCTGACATAGGGCTAGAGCAGCTCTCGAGCCTGAAACGTGTGGCCCAACCTGGTCTGGGCTAGATTGGATTGTAGAGTGAGCCTGAAGCTTGGGGCTGTTTTACTTGAGTGGGCCCTGTTTTGGTATCTGATACTCACTTCTCCCTCCTTTCTCAACACAGAGGGTATCTCTCCCCAGTGTGCTGCCTCAGGACAGGGAGGGGTGATGCCAGTAACATAACGCAGTTTTTCCTACCCTCTTCAATGCACCTTCTGTGCCATACCTAGGGGCTTCCATCTCTCATGTGTTCTTAGCTCTTGTGAAGATATTTTTGTGCATGGATAGTTGTTCAAATGCATGTATCTACAAGCTCTGGAAAGTCCTCTTTCACCATCTTGCTCATATTCCAAGTTCCCTCTCGATTTGTTTAACAGTGATTTCCTCCTACAGTAAGATTTCCTTGCTATTAGAATTCAGTGTTTAGGCTCGGCACTTGTAACTCAGCAGCTAGGTTGCCAGCCACATACACCAGAGCTGGTGGGTTCAAATCCTGCCTGGGACAACTACAACCAAAAAAATAGCCAGACGTTGTGGCGGGCGCCTGTAGTTCCAGCTATTTGGGAGGCTGAGGCAAGAGGATCACTTAAGCCCAAGTGAGGTTGCTATGAGCTGTGACGCCATAGCACTCTACTGAGGGCAACATAATGAAACTGTCTCAAAAAAAAAAAAAATTCAGTGTTTAACTGATTCCTTTTTAATATGGTAAGACTCCAACTTCTCCCATTGAAGCCCAAGAAGTTCTGCTACATGGTAGTGCTAACACTCTGTGCCAGGCCACATGAAGTTTTCCCCTTTCAAAGGGAGAAAGAGACATTAGCATGAGACAATAGCTGAGACATGTTCCAAATCTGTTTTGGCAATTTTTCAGGTTTATGCATGTTAACAATTAGATATGTAACACATAATCAATCTGATAACTGTGTCACCAAATACTTATTTGCCAAAGTATGTTCCTGACCTATGCCTTGTTTTGGTAGGAGAAGCGGCACAGACCATCATTTAAATCTTCAGTGGCTATACTATACAAGAGAGATGATGGCAAAGCCTTAAGTATGTATCAAAATTTAACCCATTCTAGTCTTAGTTTTTCTATCTTCTTTTAGGGCCATGCTGTCCAATGCAGTTGCCACTAGCCACATGGCAAGTGAGCACTTAAACTGTAGCTAGTCCAAATTCAGTGTTATATAAAATGCTAGATTTTGGGCTTGGCGCCTATGGCTCAAGTGGCTAAGGCGCCAGCCACATACACCTAAGGTGGTGGGTTCAAATCCAGCCTGGGCCTGCCAAACAACAATGATGGCTGCAAACAAAAAATAGCCGGGCGTTGTGGCAGGTGCCTGTAGTCCCAGCTAATTGGGAGGCTGAGGCAGGAGACTCGCTTGAGCCCAGGAGTTAGAGGTTGCTGTGAGCTGTGATGCCACAGCACTCTACCCAGGGGGACAGCTTGAGATTCTGTCTCCAGAAATAAAAAAATTAAAAAATTAAAAATGCTAGATTTTGAATACTTAATATTTTACTTTTTTATACTACTTTTAATATGTTTTGCATATTTTTGAGCTAAATAAATACTAAAACTTATTTTTTTACTATTTTAATGTGGCTGCTAAAAACTTTCTAGATGTGACTCTCAAGTTTCTATTGGACAATACTGCTCTAAGGTGTTCTCTCCCTGCTAAGTGCGAGCACAGACGTTATCATTTCATGACAGCAACACCAAGATACCGCTTTAGTGTTAGTATTTATTTTAAAAATACACAAAATAGAAATTTTTACATCAAAATGATAACCTCACTTACACATTGTTCCATACTTACCTGGTTTTGTTTGCATCTTTATGCAAACATTAAGAATAGATGGATTTGATTCTAATTTTTTTTGCTATGGTTCATGTAAACAGTTTAGACAGCTACAGAAAGTAAGGTTGTTGCAAAAGGTAAAGTGGCTATAGAAACCCAAGAGTAAAACAATTCAATTTGGTTTGTTTAATGAAATTGGCAGAGGTCTTAGCAGATAGATAATCCAAGGCTAAATATTGTCTTCTAGGTATTTTAAATATTAAAAACCATGAGGTTCCTTATCTTGTAAACATAACTTAGACCTTGTTGGCATTAAGTTTAAATGGAAAATATTAAACCATGATTTCTGTCATCCTGCCTGTGTCAGTACACGCTCACTTTATTATGAGAATGAAACCAAATAAACAAAGTACATCAGCATTTTCAAATTGTACTGCAAAGAAGGTCCCAGCTGGTCTCTTTTGGGAGTGATCTAACTTAAGCTGACCCTGCCACTGGCTGAGGATGGTCTCTTCTATTCACTGGACCATGCAGCGCCATGGGCCATGAGATGGTCAAGTCAGTTCTTCTCGCTCTGTGTCTTCTGAAGCAAGTAGAGACTCTACTTCCAGCTCTGTCCTTCTTCCTTGGGCTTGGATTCCTTGGGTTAGTGGTTTGCTACTACTGTCAAGACTGTACTGTCCCTTTAAGATACCACATGCCACCATAGCTTACACAGCAGTCCTATGGAGAGAGAAAAGCAAGTTAAAGTAGCCATTACATTCTGTCTAAAATATCAATACTTAATTTATGATTAGTAGGTAAAATACAAATAGAAAATCAAGAACTACCTAACAATACTAGTATCGTAACTACCAGTTACTTTCTTTTTCTTCTTTTTTTTTTTTTGAGACAGAGTCTCACTGTGTTGCCCTTGGTAGAATGTCTTGGCGTCACAGCTCACAGCAACCTCAAACTCTTGGGCTTAAGCGATTCTCTTGCTTCAGCCTATCTCCATGGATATTTTAAGAGTGAGGGACTATAAAATGAATGTGCTTTATAAACACAAGACACAAATACTATTGATAAGTTGGTCAGAACAAAGGTACTTAATAATCATATCACTATATGTTTAAGATAGTAAAAGATCTTATCAGCCTCCTGTGTTCCAATGTTTCTACAAATATGGTATTTACATCTGTGTAGTAACTGGCTCGGCGCCTGTAGCTCAGCAGCTAGGGTGCTGGCTACATACACTGAAGCTGGTGGGTTTGAACCCAGCTAGAGCCCACCAAAAAACTACAACAAAAAGATAGCCAGGCATTGTGGTGGGCGACTGTAGTCCCAGCTACTCGGGAGGCCAAGGCAAGAGAATCACTTGAGCCCAAGAGTTTGAGGTTGCTGTGAGCTGTGACACCACGTACTCTACCAAAGGTGATATAGCAAGACTGTCTCAAAAAAAAAAAAAAAGGCAAAGCATTATAGGTTGTACACTCAAGTACTTTTAGGTTAAATGTTATATTGAAAGTCATACAAATGTTAGTATGTGGCTAGGGCAGTGCAAAACTCAAAGGGGAGGAGGATCAGGATTCTGACCTATGCCTGTGACCCATGAAGACTAGTATTCAAACAGGTTAGTACTCTCACACATGCCCCCACATCAATACCAATCATTATCAGTTGCTAAAGACAAGACTGAGAAAGAAGCCGATTTAATACACAGTGGAAAGAAAGCCGATTTAATACACAGTGGAAAGAAAAATATCAAACATGAATTCTTACTACACACTGTCAGCCCCTTCTTAAGACAAAGGGTTACCTAGTCATGGACACCCTCACTCCTAAGCCCAGAGCCTTTGGATATAGTTATGCACAAAACAGATGTACCTTTAGCACTTTATCCACTTCCTGTTTACTCAGATCTTCTCCACACTCTTGAGTTAACCGAGACTGGATCATGTTTCGGCGTACCCGGTAATTTTTGGAAAAAATTTCAAGTAAAACCTGTCGATGCTTTAGTAGCAAAAACATGTTATTATGGAAAACAGTAATCTAAAAGAGAAACATCCCCAAACAAGATACTGAAAGCCATTGACCTAACCCTACATTGCAGGCTGATAAAAATCTTTTCTCCACAGAAGGAATGCCAGGCTGTGGTGAGCTATGACGGCACTACTACCCTCCAGCCTGGGTGACAAAGTGAGACCTCCATCTCTTTAAAGATGAGTAAATTTGTCCCAACTGATGTATACAAATAAAGGTATGCACAAGCAGAGTTGGTGAAGAGACACTGAGGATAAAAGAGGAGCTCACAACTGATTTAGCAGACAGGGGAAGAAGCCACATCTAAACAGCGTGGATCCC